CTCTCTATGCACTGGTGTAGAGGACTGTGTGCAGAGCTGGGGGGAAATGCTGTTATTAGGGTAGGGTCGTGGTTGCATTCACTTGGCTCTGAAGCAAGACAAGAGGGATCAGACTTGACCTCTAGGAAGTATTCAGGCAAGAGGCCAGATTCTCCCCTCAATTAAACTGTTACAGCTCTGCATAGCTAATTGTTTTGCTCTGGATTTACATTGTTGGAGTAGAGCAAAATCTCTTCTGCAGTATTTTAGGGCCTGGCAGTGGTTTAGAGGCTTAACCAGTCCTCCTGAATACAGTGTTGGTTGCCCTGTGCTGTCTTGACTGTCCGCACATAAGCAGCTTAGAACACTTTTGTTCTGATTTTTCTATTGTGCACTCTTGGTAGTGGTGTAAGTGATAACGCAAAGTTAAGGTAATATAGAAACTTAAAAGAAGGCCTGTGCAGTTTTGCCAGTTACTCAAATGGGAACTGAATCAGACTGGTAAGAGGGTGGGAGTCACTGGCCTGTCCAGCAGAGAGTGGTTTCCGGGATGTCTGAAGCAGCCCTGTATCCTGTCCTGGGAGTGCCTTAGCTTTATCCAGGCAGCTCTTTTCCATTCATATCTGTCTTTTCTTGCTTCAAGAATCTCTCTGAGCATTAAAGCAAAACAAAGATTAAGGGATACTAATTATCCTTGGTGGAGCCAGATCCCTGAGAATTGTGCCTGTCTTCTGGAAAGTTGATATTACGTGGAGCCAGAGCTTTTGTTAGCTGGGGGCCCTTCTCACTGGCAGGATCCTGTGTCATCCTGGTCTTTATATGTTGCCTGTGGGACACCAGATGGTGATTAAACAACAGAGAAGTGTTTTAGTAATTGTGCTTGGTTCCCCTTAACGGAGGGTTGTGGTTTTGGAATAATTTACTTAATGCTGAATTTCTTTTTCCCACAGCTGCAGGGACAGAGCTAAGTGCACTGTAATGTTCTGCAAGAACTGAGAAACTGAGGGAAAGCGGAGACCCCAGCTCAGACTGAGCTTTCCCAGCTTTTCTGTAAAATCTGGCTCCAACTAGTTATTCTCATCTTGAACAGCCTCATCCTCATACTAGGAATTGGACAGCTGTCTTACTCCCACCTCTTCTTTTAATAGCTTTCTTAACTGTGCCAATGCCACACTTGGCAGGTCGAAATAAATTGACACAGCCAAAACCTTCTCAATCCCTCTCTCAGCCAGCTGTGGGCCTTTCCAGTCCTGTGGCAACCAGGCTGGATTCCTCTGAATGCAGCTCTGACACGGCCATTTCCAGGCTGATTATATTGTGGCCTCAGCCAGATGCTGCTTGGGTTTGGCACCTGCTGCCCACAAAAATCCCAATGGTCTTGAAAGAGTTTTACCTGCCTTTGCCAAGGCCCAGAGGAGATCCAGTTCCTTCTTTGTCTGCTGTAGGTATCTGGCACATTTTAGGTGAATGGGAGTGCTTTTTTAGTAACGAAGACTGTCTATTTTCACAACATGCATCTGTTCTGTAGCAGTGGCTCTTGGAACTGACTGACTGATTGTCAGCTGTCATGGGTCCTGAATTACTTTTAAATGAATAGGTCCTTCTGGCCTGAAAATCTGGCATCTCTTACATATGTAGTCTTTTAAAATGTATACAACAATAATCAACAAGACACTTAAATGTTTAACAGCACTTTACTGTAGGTATGAGATAGATAAGGCAGAGCAGGAGAGCAGCAGTAGGCTTTTGCTGTCAAAAAAGATGGGTTTGCAGAGGCTTGCAATTCAGGTGTTTCCTTTGATGTAGATCCACAAGCTGCTGACACCCCCACACAGCTACTTTCATGCTGAGACATATTTTTAATAAAATTCAGTTCCTGCTGCAATGTCAGAGCTGGGTAGGTGAATTTTGTGACAAAGCTGGATTAAGAGAACTTTCCAATTTATACAGTCAAGAGAGTGTCAAAGTGAAGGTTGCCCAGGCAAACAGACTTCAGTCCCCTTTTATGTGCAATCATTACAACTGTCATTAATCATTAGCAGACACCATTCAAGGCAAAAAGGATGCAATATTGGCTTATATCAAACTTGATTTAAATAATAATTAGTACTGTCAATTAATTTCAGTTAACATGCATGATTAATACAAGAATGAGTTAAGGCGTTAATTATTTTAATGCATTAATTGCACACGTGGTTTTGGAGCCTATCCCTGGGCTCCTCGGCTGCCATCACCGCTGCCTCTGGGCTACCCAGCGGGGCAGTGCTGGCAGTGCAGAGGAGCCGCAGGGCAGCTTGGGCTCTGGGCTGCTGCAGGAGGTGGGGGGGAGCACACAGACGCACACACTAGAGATGCACTGAGATATGCATGCACACACATGCACACTCTAGCGGTGCACCAATACATTGGTCCCATATCAGGACACCATGTCCAGGTACGCAGCCGCAGCATGCATGCAGCCAGGAATACAGCCCGGGAGCATGTAGAAGGGGTGTTTTGAACTGAACTCAAAGCTGTTGGTGTTTTTCACACTTTAGTTGTACTCAGATGATCAGGGACTTAAAGGCAGTGGTTCTCAAGCGTTGTAGACTCAAGGTACCCCATGGGAAATGGCAGCTGGTTATTTTCACTCACCCCACCTAACCCCCAGGAGTTCTCAAGGAGGTTAGCCAATGGCTCTGGAATTACCTCAGCCAATTCCTTCGGTACCTTTAGCGTACATCCTGTCTGGCCATGCCAACCTGAAAGCATCTAGCTTTTCCAAGCGGTCCTAACTTGTTTTGCCATAGTGTAGGCTGTTCGTCTCCTTTCCTATCTTTTCTGCTAACTGCTTGTCATAGGGTAGCTGCCTCTATTTGAAAAGAAGGCATTAAATATTTCAGCCTTCTCTAGATCACCCATAACTAGATTGTTTTATGATTTCCTTAAGTGATCTGCCATTTCTCTGGTCTTGCTTTTACTCTCAACATACTTGTAGAATCTCTTTTTATTGCCTTTTCCATCTTTTTCCAGTTGCATCTCAAGTCGTGTCTTGGTCTTCTTAATTTTCTTTCTGCATATCCATGCAAATACTCTTACACTCTTCCCTAGTACTATGACCAAGTTTCTGCTACTTATGGGATTCCTTTTTGAGTTTCAGCTCCTTGAAGAGATCCTGTCTAGCCAATCTGATCTCCTGTTCTTCTGTTGCATTGGGTTAATCTTGCTCCTGTGCCCTTAAAAGGGCCTCCTTAAAGTACAGCTAGCTTTCCTGGACTCTCCTTCCTCCTCTGACTTGCCTCCCAGGGAATCCAGCCAACCCAGGGAACTGGTGGGCTGAAGTCAACTTTTATGAAGTCCCATGTCTTTATCCTATGGCTCTCTTTCCTCCCTCTGGTTAGGATCTTGAACTCTATCATTTCATGGTAACTCTCACCCCAGTTACCTTCCACCTTAGAAGTAGAGTTCAGGGGGTGGAAAGTTTGTCTACACAGAATGGGAAATGTGACACTGCATCCCAGGATACTGGAGGATTGCAACTTGGGTGGCTTATCTTTGGGGAGTGTAATGGAACATGAGCTGGGTAACATGGATCAGGGATGAACCTGCCCTTCAGTGGCATAATTTTAAGCTGCCTAAAATGGGTTTAAAGCTCGTTTCAGTGGGGACAACGCAGAGGTTAAGAGCTCTAGGCGCTGCCTAAAATTAATGTGTAACCAGGCCTAATTCATCAGTGGGCATGTAGGCATTTGTGTATCTACATACCTCCCATGTTTTAGTTCATTGGCCTAATGGTCGGAGCACAGCCATACCCATAAGGGGTTTGAACATGCATCTGTTTCCCATGAAAGTGCTCTAAGCACCACGCCATAGGTTAGGTCAGTGATTCTCAGCCAGGGTTCCCCGGCCTCTGTCCTCCCCTTTCTAGTTCTCCCCTGTGGGCAGCCCATGTGAAGTGCTGGAAGGGAAACTAAAAACCAGAGGTGGTGTGGCTCTGGGATGGATGGTACCCTGGATGGGAGATGACCCTGGATTGTATCCTGGGCTCTGCTCACAGTAAGGCGGAAATTGTCCCAATATTTATTCATCTTTTCCTGATGAATATGTAATTCATGGGTCAGTGGACCCTCTTCAAAAGCAGGGCTGGAAAGACACTGGGCAAAGGTTAGTTTATGGTCTGCTGATTAGAGTCTTTTATTGGGCATATGAGGTGAAGATTCAAACCTTCTTGGGGGGAGGGGGGCTTAAAATGTGGGTTTCCCATTCCTTTAGGAAGTGACTAATCAGCAGACCATTGGTCTAATAACATGAGGGCTTTCATTCTCCTCTTCCGTTCTATTTCACTACTTATAGCATTTCACGCTGTGTGTATGTATTACAACTGCAGTTACGAAATTTGGGGTGGCTGCAGCCCCCTCCGTAGCCCCCTGCCCCTGGCGAGAAAAGCCTGACTCATCCCCAGCTCCAGCCCACCCATCCCACCCCATGCAGATCCGGGGGCATACACCACTCCGTGTCCTCCTAGCAGCAGGAGCTGCCCCATTCCCTGATGAGCTGCAGCTTGGTCCCATGCCCTGCACTAACTGGGCAGTGCCTGCCCCATCCCTCACTGTAGGGGCATTGATCTGCCCTCCGCACACGCCCTCCCTCCCCCCTCCCCTTCCACCACAACGGACTTACCCACTGGAGGCAGTTCTCCACACTGCCAGGCTGTGCTCCTCACTGCCTGAGTACTGTACTGCGGCTGCACGCATGCACGGGCATTTATTGGCCAAATTATCGACTGCATCGGGCCAATTTCTGATGCAGCCAATTTTCTTTATCAGTACCGATCTGATATTGGACTGATTGTATCGGTGCACCTCTAGAAATTAGGCTTTTGAATCTAATTTTAACTTGTATTTAGGGAAAATAGATAGCAGCAGTTGCCATACAAGAGTTCATAAAATACTCTGTTATAGTAAAGGTACTTCATTGACTGCTTCAGCTGCTTAGAATAGATAACAAAGATTAAGAATTATTTTTACTTTTCTCAATCACAGACCAAATGTTTGTGGCTCAAGGTTCCACTCTTACTGCTGCCCTGGATGGAAAACACTGCCTGGAGGAAATCAGTGTATTGTTCGTGAGTATTTACTTTTGTTTTATTGTCATCACATAGTATCTTCCGGGAGTACATTCTGCACTTTCAGCAGATAAAATTAACATTCTCCATTCGTTTCAGATGAAGAGCTAGAACAGAAGTTATGAATATGGGATCTATCACTTCTGTGAGCTGCTAATCTTGGTTAAAGATGAATGATTATAACCCACCCCACTTAACAGAATTTATGTAGCCTGTAGACTTTTCAGGGTGTTACAGTGGTATTTAATGCTGGACAAGTTGCATGGCTGGTCTAGAAGAATAGCCCTCAAAGAGATGATGTTTATGACCTCCAAAACCAAAACATGAATTTAATGTAAACTTACAGCTTAAAAAGAAATAACTTGTAAGACTGAGGGTGAGCCAAGTACCTGACCCTGTGAAAGTGTGGTTATTGCATATGGTCCATTTTCAGGAAGTTGTATCTTTTTTTTTTTTTTTAATCACCTGGTTCTAGTCACAGGCAAAGAGTAGATGTTGAATTAAATGGGTCTTTCATCTGATATGGTATAGCTATGTTGCTACTTGGACTTTCAGAATAAAACATGACAAAGACCTTCACAAGATGCTAGTAAGGAAACCGATTTAAAAGGCTGCTTAAAAACAAACCACATTTCTAGTAACAATTTTAGATCAAGAATATTTCTTTCAAGATTTTTACATTTTGAAAAGTGTCAAAGTTGGTATTTTGTTTGAACACCTCCCTCAGCAGGACCACAGTTCCAACCAGCATTTCATGTCTGTGGGATAAAAAGGGCGGATGGCAGTGGGATAGTTTCTGTTTCACTGGGAGCAGTCATGAGGATCTGGGTCCCTCTTCCACAACGTTGTACATCATATTGAGTCGTATGTTCTCTCTGACCACCTCCTGGACCTACATATTCTCCTCTCTTGACTGCCCTGTGAATCATTTCAATGCCAAGCCTTTATGTAAAACATAGGAAATGATGGTTCCAATATACTCAGCAGAGATTAAGCCCCAGCTGGTATACTGTATAGAAAAAAGAAGACAAAGGGGAAGAGCTGTGACCCAGTGTTACCAGGATCTACTCCTTCCTTCCAGAACTATTTTCTACGTCTGCAGTAATACATGCAGATCTTAGATCACCCTCATCGGTCATCTGTGGACTCACTGCTATCTTCCCTTTAATGGAAGACTGTCTGCCTTGTATCAAAGGACTCCTAGCAATGGCAATTGTGTGCAGTTCTGGGCTCCACATTTTAAGAAGGATGTAGAGACATTGAGGCAAGCAAGAAAGATGAAAAAGAGATTGGAAAGGGGGAGGGACCTTAGTATGTGTGTTTTGGAGAAAAGGAGATTTAAGGAGGACATGAGAACTGTTTCCAAGTATTAAAAAGGCTGCCATAAGAAAGACAGGCTTTTTAATTTCCTTTTATGTGTCTAAATGACAATCTTCTAGTTGCATACCTGGCTGTTTTTGGCCATGGTCTTATGCTGTAGATGCATAATCATGCGCGCACACAGCCTGAGCATGCCAAGTAGAGCTATGCACTGGCCAGTAGGCCTGGGTGAAGTGACTAGTATTCACTTCGGATTCGGCCAATTCGGGGGGACAGTGATTTGATTCGGTTATTCGAATCACTGTCCTGAATTGATTCAGCCGAATTTGATTTGGAAATTTGGCTGCTGCTGAATCTCCGAATCACCCAGCCCCATTCTCCCAGCCTGGCAATGCCTGCCCCCCCAGCCCAACTTCCGGCACTTTGTAAAAAAGAAAAGCCCCAACTCAGCCGGTGCTGCCTGGTGGGGGGCGATCCCTGTGGCCCCCCACTGCCCCACACTGCATGGGGGTTCTGCACAAGCCCCTTTATTCCCCACATCACTGTCCCAGCCCCTCCCATGGCTACCCTGCCCACCCCAGCTCTGGCCCTTTAAGAACTCCCCCCCGCCCCCCCACCCCACACTCACTGTTCCTGCCCAGCAGGAGGCAATCCCTGCTGCCTTGTGCCACCTGGGGGGCTCTGCATGAGCCCCCCAAAGCCCCAAGGCTACTGAAGGAGTGGTGAGTCCTGGGGTTTTTCTCTTTTTTTTTTTTTTTTTTTCCTTAAAATGACAGAGCTGGGCCAGGTGGGGCAGCCATGGGGCACTGGGACAGCGGGTGGGGGACGGTTGGGGGGCTCATGCAAAGCCCCCCATGCAGTGAGGGGCAGCAGGGATCATCTCCCTGCCCAGCAGAAGATTCGGAGAGCTTCGAATCAGTTCGGATCTTTTAATTGGTTCCCCGATTCAATTCGGATTTAGTGATTCAATCACCGAATCGGGCTGAATCTCCTCTGAATCGAAGCACCACCCGAAGCTTTGCACAGCCCTGTTGGCCAGGTTTCTGTGTGTGTACCTGGGACTAAGTCCTGGAAGAATGACGGGAGGTGAGCCCCTCCTACATTTTAGGCCTGATAACTGAGGGGTTTGCACACTTGACTAGAAAGTCCTCCACACCCAGAGCAGAGATGAACCTGCCTCTATTTGACTTCTTAGAACAATACTCTAACCAGCACACGACAGGGATAGGAGTTACCAGAGGTTTCTGCAGTACCCCTCTTAAAGCTGAGACATTGCTTCTTGCATTTAGTAATCATGGTATAGCATGTATGGGGAGCAGTGCAGAAGTTTCTGCCCCACTGGGAACAAAGATACAGGCAAGAGGCAGAAGCTAAGGCCTGCTGCCTTCCAGCGAACCATCTCACTGAGCCACGCACCCTCTAGTTTGCTCTTTTTCTGGTCCCCACATATCTCCTGCTCTTGGCCAACCAGTGGAATCAACTCCAAAAGGAGCGCTGGAAAGCACAGGGGGTAATGCCTAACCCGTGGCGTAGTGGTTAGAGTACTATGCTGAGAAGTCAGTGATACAGATCCAAACCTCTTACGGGTAAAGGGAACCTAGAATGTGGGTTTCTTGGCTTTGTACTGGGGCTAAAATGCAGGAAGGTCCATCTCCCCACACATAATATAGTGCTTGCTACTCATGTGTTTCTAGCTGACTGTATTTTGGGAACCTACATGCAGGTATACATCCAGAATGGGTATGTGTATGCAGAAGCGGATCCAAATGGGGTGCAGCTGCTTTTGGACTGCACTGCTCTGGGGGAACCTCTGGGTTTGCCTCTGAGCTCAGAGGGGAAGGTGGGGGAGTTTATTAGCTACTTTGGGGCCTTTAAAAAGTCCCCAGAGGCTCCCAGAGCCCAGTCTGCCTGTCGTGGTTGAGGGGAGAGTCTGAGAGGAGGTTGCAGCCACCCCTACAGCATGGTTGCTACTCTTGCACACCCTTTGGCCAAATCTTAGACCCCTACACAAAGCAGGAACATCACAGCTAAGGGTCTATCCAAATTGATCTTGAAAATTTCCAGGCATGGAGCTTCCACACCTTCTCTAGGCAGCCAGTTCCAATGCTTGACCACCCTCATAGTCAGAACATGCTTCCTAATTCAACCTAAATTTCTTCTGCTTCAGTTTAAAGTCATTGCTCCTAGTCTAGTTTCCCAAGGCCACCCATCTCCATCCTTTCTGTAAATGCCCTTCAGGCTTTAGAAAATGGTTATCGAATTCCCCCTCAGTCTTAGAAATCATAGAACATCAGGGTAGGAAGGGACCTCAGGAGGTCATCTAGTCCAATGCCCTGCTCAAGGCAGGACCATCGTCAACTAGATCATCCTAGCCAGAGCTTTGTCTAGCTGGGTCTTAAAAGCCTCCAAAGATGGAGTTTCCACCACCTCTGGGTAACCTGTTCCAGTGTCTTACTACCCTCCTAGAAAGAAAATTCTTCCTAATATCTAACCTAAACTTCCCTTGCTGCAACTTGAGAGTATTGCTCCTCATTCTGTGATCTGTCACCATTGAAAACCATTGAAAACAACCTAACTTCATCCTCTTTCAAAGCCCATTTCAGGTAGTTGAAAGCTGCTATTCAATCCCTTTTGTCTTGTCTTCTCCAGACTAAATAAGCCCAGTTCCCTCAGTCTTTCCTCATAATTCATGTTCTCCAGCCACCTTCTCATTTTTGTTGCCCTTCAGTGGACTCTCTCCAATTTGTCCACATTCTTTTTGTAGTGGGGGGCCCAAAACTGAACACAGTACTCCAGATGTGGCCTCACCAGTGCTGAACAGAGGGGAAGAATCACTTCCCTGGACCTACTGGAAACACACCTACCATTGCAGCCCAGGATGCCATTAGCCTACTTGGCAACAAGGGCACATTGCCGGTGCATATTCAGCTTATTGTCCACTGTAACCCCCAGCTCCTTTTCTGCAGAGCTGCAGCCCAGCCAGTCAGCCCCCAGCCTGTACTGGTGCATGGGATTCTTCCGTCCTAAGTGCAGGACTTTACACTTGTCCTTGTTGAATCTCATGAGATTCCTTTTGGCCCAGTCCTCCATTTTGTCTAGGTCTCTCAGAATCCTAGCGCTACCTTCCAGCATATCTACTACTCCCTCCAGGTTGGTGTCTTCTGCATACTTGCTGGGGGTGCACTCTATGCCATCTTCCAGGTTGTTGGTGAAGACGTTGAATAATATTGGCCCGAGGACTGACCCCTGGGGTACTCCACTTGATACCGGTTGCCAACTAGACATCAACCCATTGATTGCTACCCTCTGAGCTCACTGATTCAGCCAGTATCCACCTTACAGTCCATTCATCCAACCCGTAGTTCCTTAGGTTGCCTGGGAGAATGTTGTGAGAGACCGTATCAAAAGCCTTGCAAAAATCAAGGTACACCACATCCACCAGTCTCCCCACATCCACAGAGACCGTCAAATCGCCATAGAAGGCAATCAGGTTATTCAGGAATGACTCCCCTTGGTGAATCCGTAATGACCATTTCTAATCATCTTCTTCTTCTGCACTTTCTTCTCCTCCAAACTGACATGGTTCCTCTTCTGGGCATGTGTTGCATCCGGTGTGGGGGCATACTGAACTGAAAGTAAAGCACCAGTTTTCTACACAACCCCCCCTCCCCAAGTCTGTC